TGTTTTCGTCTTTGTAGCATATTTTTGTCTGTAACGATTTGTTGAGTACACGCAAAACTGTTTCGGTATTTACAATAAAGCTTCCTCTGAAAAACGGGGCTAATGTGCTTTCATTGATTGAACGGCAAAGCAAGGCTGGTTTCGCAAAACTCTTACTTTGACAAGTAATTTGTTCAGTTTGCATGTATTATTTAATTGTTATTATGAATATAGTGTTTTTATATAAATTTAGTATTTTTAAATAACAGTAAAACTATTTTTTATTTAGGTGTTCTCTTTGACTCAAATCGGTCTCTTCAGCTGGCAAACCACGATGCTAGACGGTTGTAAAAACCTGCTTTTCCACGTCTTGCAGGACTGCCAGTATTATTGCCCTTGCTTTGGCAATGAAAACGTCCGTTCCACCCAGGCCTTAATTCAGGGTAATGACTTGTGGTGTTCCTGAGTTACTTCTGTACCTCACTCTATCTCTCCCCGCGAACACCCAACCTGCATGACCGCCACCGCCGTTTGCCAACTGAAACGTGGTTAAAGCAAATATATTTAATTACGCTTAGCTTCTGGCTCTTTCTTGTATAACGTTTACCCTTTCTAGATATTCTCCATCATTGAACTGAGTGTGTTCAGCTGGCAAACGGCGGTGATCAGTTGGGAACGTGACAAAGTTACTAACCGCCGAGAACCATACTACTCATATCAGGGATATTACGACGGCACCTACCGAGGTAGCACCTGGAGTCAGTATTTCGTGTCACCGGAGGAAAGCTTTTTCAACGGTACATAAAATAAAACTTCGCTGCTTTACATTCAATGTGTTCAAGAGAACAATAAAACTTTGCTAGAATTAGCAATGACTTTCTTTGCAACTCCTTGGGTGTTGTTTAAAGGCTCAAACTTTTGCCTTACAGATTTTCTGGCACTGTCAAACTTCATTTTAAACATGGGGTCACGAAAGCTCTAAATTCAGCGAAAATAATAAATCGGGCTTGGTATTTAAGCTTCACTTCAATTAATTGAACTGATAAAAGTGCTATAGAAGGATACGATAATTTTTCCATTAAGAAACGCCCAGATGATCCAGAATTTTAAGAATTTAGAGCAAGAGGCTGTTGAAACAAAGGCGGTTAACTTTATTTTACAGGTCTTATGGATATTGACTGTAAAAGAAACAGTTTCATTCAAAAATTCCAAGCTGCACTAAAGTGCAGTATAATTTTATGGGGTGATTAAATTACTCTATAAGTAATCTCTTCCTCTTTTCACATAATCTTCATTCATTCAATGTTGCAAAGGCATAAGTTCGTTGGAGGGGTAAGTTTGCGTTCTCTATCTCATTTTGGTAAGGGAGAAGCAAAAACAGTTGATGGGTTAAATGAAGTCGATGCAATGTGGCCGGATTATCTGACGGTATCATATTTTCATTGTATTCCTCTTGAATCTGGAGTTACGGCGCCATGGGCAGTTTTTACGTTAGATAGTAAGATTGTTTCGCCCCTTTGGTGCTTAATGTTACTAATGAAATGCCATGAGGCGATGCGGCAGACGACTCTAGTTAGGGATAGAAACTGCTTTGCCACTGGCATTTCCTGCCAAGGGATCATCCGCTATAACAATTACGCATTTTCTGCAAAACTGCAGTCGCAGAGAGCATAGACTGTTTTCGCAACTACGCTTTCCTGACAATGAGGGAGTGATGGTGCAAGAAAAGAGGAGGAATCTAAGAGTACATAAGTATCATTACAGTAATAAAACAAAGTTTCCATGCTGAAGTTAAACAGGTATTATTGGTTCCATTGGGATCCGGATAAGTTGGGAAATGATCAATGTTCGAACTAATCAATCGGAGTGAGTTTGATCACTTTAGCAGCGCTGACCTTCTAAATTTACAAATGACTTTTTTTTCATGCCATTATCTTATTTCCGATTCCTTTCTGCCTTTAATTCTCATTGAAAGCACTTTCTATCATATCCTGGTCATTATCCGAAGTTTATTAATCTGTACCTTGATGCCGTCCACAAATTTCTATGAAAATTCTCTAATCGTTACATTATCTACCATTTCTGACCAGGATGACCAGGATTTAGCCTGAAATTGCTTGACCACTCATTTCCTCGTTTCTCACTTAAGCTAGAGGCGGTTCTACCTAAAAGCGGTAAATTAAAATTTTCTGTAGTAAATACACAGCAGCATTCATTTAGTGTTCTGATAAATGACTGTATTACTACGTTAGACTGGCCAGTCAGTTTCTGTGACCACTTATCCTTTTGGGCCGCGTCCTTATCCTTTTTTACGCCGTTCAAAAATCCTTCATATTGAAAATAAATGATACAGCCTTAGGATACATAAGTGGAACTCACCTTGGTTTTGTCAGCTGAAGGGACTGCATATGTGTGTCACTGTGCTTCGATGCAGTTTCTCTAAACATGTTTGAACCATTCAGGTTTTTTCTGTTGTGCAGTTGATTCTCTTCGGCTGGCAAACTGAGGTTGTGAGTCTAATGAAAGGAAAAGCGGGCAACGAGAGGCAACTCCCATTTATGACGCTCTGGAAGCCGGAGTTTGAAACGTGGCCTGGCTACTACGAGTTGAACTGGATGACTTCAGACGAAAAGTTCTACACAGGTGCTCAATTTACTTTTGTGCTACAGTCACAGTTCTAACCAGGAACAACCTAATCGCATTAACGATAGCCTTGAATTCTCATCTGTCGTATTTAGGTTTGTTTGTGGTGCAGATCTTGAACTTGATAGCCGCCTTCTTCTTGCTCTTCGCGTCGGTCTCTCTTATGTATGGCATTCACGTGGTAAGTGTGTGCATTGTTGAAATTTGAGTGAAAGTTGAATGCTTCTCTTAGAGTTCGAAACTTCTTGTATGGCCTTGGTTTCCAAGTATCGTTGCAACCATTCTCTGTTCACTCACATATTGTATAACCTGGTGGATCGGAGTATGTATATTCGAGCAGTGGTCTGATATCTTGTTATTAATCGCATTTAGAGAGTGACGAGTTACTGGCTAATTTTGACGATCATCGAGTTCCTGTCGGTTGTAATAAATGTAAGTCCAGAACGTCGCCATTGCTGAAGTTCATATTTGCACTCTTATACGTCACAATCTTTCACGATCAACTTAGACAAATTTTTTTCGTCTCTTCTTCTATGTGTTTTTGCAACTAAAATCAAACTGGGTAATGATGATAGTTATCATGAGAATTGCGTAGGTTACGGAAATGCTCCTTCCTGCTTTCAGCACCTGCATATATACAGCGTACAACAGTACATAAGGCAATTATTATGTATGATTTCTATTGAAAGCAAAAGATAACACCTTCAAACAGGATGAGGATAAGTGAGGTACCACTGATTTTCTGTACAGCTCAATTCTTGCTTCTGAAATGAAGATATTTCCTCGCATAGTGGAATTCTGAAAGTAGCAGGCCGTCAATTGTCTGTGATGTGAGTGGATGGCATCTTGCAATTTCTGTTCAGCGAAGTAGTGTGAACTGTCATAAGCAATTTGCACAATGGTCTTAGTTGCGAGACAGCATTTTAACCCTTCAGATTTCGCGGCTATCATCATACATTGCCGTACGTTCTCAAAATCACTTCCCATTAAGGCCTGAATATAGACGGAAAAAACATTATTTATAACTGGCATTACAGAACACCGCGAAAATCGCTAGTGCAAATCAAAAGAGTCTTCATGCAAGAGTTAACGCTGAGTGCACAAATTAGCTATTTTTACCCTATTGATGAGGCAAACCATGCTACCAGACCATGTTAGCCTGCCATTAACGGTCACACCAAGGCGCTTCACGTATTAAACACGAGTGACCGGCATCTGGATTAAACTAGTTTCTTCTCCCCTAGCAAGGTTGCAAGGTTTAAGAGTTCTTAGTTCCTTTTATTTAGGTGAATATACATACACTTTGCAAACTTACTCAAGCTGAGGATAAATCCTTATGAGTTAGATCAATCTAATCGGTTTAACTGGTAATAATTGCTTATACATTAAAAAATTCATTTTCAATGCACAACAACCAAATTTAAATTGTTTGCCATTTCATTTGTTTACCTTTTTATTCATTCTGGCACAGAAACCATCATCAACGATGCTGACTATTAATATTGTTCAACCGAAATTAAGAAGCAAAGTACAGATGTTGACAATCTATCAACGGAGGATTGGGCTGGGTTCAAGGGAGTAGAATTCAAGAGGACAAGCTAAAATAGTAGGCCATTCTTAACGGTGTACAATGCCTTTAAATTTTTTCTTGTATTGTGTCAGAACAATTATAGCAGTTCGAGGCTATGCGGATTCAATATATAAACTTTAAATATAACCAGATTTTAACAGTCAGAAAAGTTGCTCCAGTCATTTCGTCTCTATATCACGCTGCTCTTTGCTACAATGATTCTTGTGAGTAAAGTGTAAACTTGTTCTAACTTTCTGAAGAACAATCAAGCAGGCCTTAACAATTCCACTCGGGTCACTCATTGGTAACAGCTATCCACCAGTGGTCAAGAAACCGAGCAACGTGCCCAGTCCATCGCATTCTTCTCTCCCTATTTTCCAACCATTAAATCTCTTGTTTTGGTTTATTGTCTGATTTCTGCAATGGGGATATGATCACGAAGCGAAACCCAAACATCTTCATCATCTTCATCTTCCATCGCCGCTTCTCCTTTCGGGTCGCGGAGGCAGACGCGTCAGAGAGAGCTTCCAACGTTCCC